TAGGGACCCTGAAGTAAGTAAGAACAGAAGAGCTACATGGCAACAAATAAAGCTTGCATCTTAAAAGGATAAGTTTACCTTTTGCACAAAAATAATAAATGCACATTATTATTTTTTTTGCAGGTAAACGAATGTGCATTTATTATTTTTGTCTGTAGGAGCCTGTAAAGCATTGCACTAGTGCTCAGCAGATCACTGGTGCCATGCAGGTCTCCTGCAAGTCTGTTAGTATATCTGCTTGCCCATGTGGGATGTACGGGCAAGCCAATATACTGACAGGAAGATTCAATGAACTACCACAGCACTACACAGAGCAGTGGTAGTTTGAGAACTACAAGCCAACAGCCACTAAGGCTTTAGGGACTTGCAATTCATTCATTCACAGAACTCTGTGCATGAATAACGTGGCCGTGCCCCTCATGGCCTCACTGTTTTCAAATCTGACTACTATATTGAATATGGCCAAAATTGTAGCATTTCAAATATATGGCAATATATTTGGGAAGAATATTTTGAAAATATATTTTAAATATATTTTTCTTCCGTGGGGGTAGCTAGACTAATTCTTCTGCCTGGGCAACAACTTCATGTCTCCAGTGAGTCTTATACCTGACCCTCTTGCTGCTGAAATAGGCTATCTGCATCTTTAGATGGTGACACACCACCCCTCCGTCACAGATATAGCAATGGTAAGCAAGTTGAGTGTAATAGTAAAGTTGTGCTTGTTTGGAGCAGTGCATCAACAACAGCCTCCGCAAGAGCAAGAGCTTCAGATGTATAGTTAACCACTTCATGTCCGGACACTTTTACCCCCTTCCTGTCCAGGCAGATTTTCAGCTCTCAGCGCTGTCACACTTTGAAAGCAATTGCACGGTCATGCAACACTGTACCCATATGAATGTTTCAGCATTTTTTTGAAACATTAAAACTTTATTTTGGTGGTATTTATTCACCACTGGGATTTTGTTTTTGTTTTGCTATATAAATGAAAAATTCCAAACATTTTGAAAAAAAGTGTTTTTTTCTTATAAAATTTAGCAAATAAATAATCTTTCTTCATAAATCTTGGCCAAAATTGATTCAGTTATCTTTTTGGTAAAAAACAGACAATACCCAAATTAGTTTATAACCAAAAATTATAATTTTTTAAAAATGATTTTTTACATTTTAATTTTAATTTTTTTATATCATTTATTTATTTATTTTTACATACTGTCGCCCTAGCAGTACAGTGTCACCATAGTGACACTGCACTACTTGTGGGGGGTGAGGAAGATTTTTTTTTTTTTTTTTTTTGCACTGATTTGCTTTTACACCCATAAAGGCTGTAAAAACATAATTTCTCCTTCTCTCTGGCTGCATTCTTGCAGCCATTGAGAAATACTGTGTGAGCCGTGATTGGTCACAGCTTGTGACATGGTACAAGGCTGTTGTGAATAGCCTTGTACCATGTGACCTCTGTGATCATTCAGATTTCACAAGTAGTAAGCAATGATGTCAGAAGTGACAGCTTGCTTTCACCTATTCTTGTGATCACTGATTGACCAATATATACAGCGGCTGGACGGGAAGTGGTTAACATGTTGTGATCATGCCACAGGTATTTACTGGACTAGTAGGAGCAAATTTATGGCATATTTAGATTTCACTCCTTCAGTGAATACTGAATAATTGAGAGAATTTGATCATACTTTCCTTTTTTTAAGAATATTTTTCAAGGAATTTAAATTTACACAAAAGGAGACACATGCTCGATTTTTTTTTTTAACAGATGTTTCACAAACAGCAGAACTAAAGCATGTTTTGAGATCTGTTATGTCACTGTAAGTTGCCTACAGTTTGCTGCGGTCAATCAACTTTCCTTTCTACAGGCCTCTCTTTTGGGACATTGACAACCATGCCAATTGCAGAAGTAGAGTTTATGCTGTTACCCAGCCCTTTCACCATTTTTTTTTTTAGAACCGTTTTACTCCAAAATGGCATCTTAAGTGAATGCAGAGCACAAACAAATTGAATGCATTTGAAGCCTTCTTTCACTGGGTAAATTCAGTTTTTAACCTTCAAATAATACTATGAAAATTCACAGACTATGCTATTTTTATAGTCACAGATCCTATCAATCCATGGTCCTTGTTCAGTTATTTCTACACAGTTTTCAATTTTTCCTCCATTTGGTTCCTTTGTGAGCCAATTCTTGTAAGAAATTGGATTACCATTGAGGTATGCAAAAGCACCTTCTTGCTTTTTGTCATTGATTCCAAGGAAAAATCTTCGGTTCCTTGCCTTAACAACCTGAAGCATGGCGGCATTTTCAGCACTATTCACTGGAGTTGGCAGCGTGCCTTGTGCCCCTTGGCAAGTGGCTTGAGCGATGTCATAATTGCCATCTTTTCCATTAGCGACAAATATTTTGTTTCCAGATATTACTGCTCCACTTTGGAAATTGAATGCTGTTGAAAAAAAGTAAGGTTTTATGACTGTTTAATAATTTGTCTAAATACATAAATTATAGCATAACAATTTTTTTTTTCCGTTTTGTAGAGAGAAGGAAAGCTTGAAACCCTTTCAGATTTTTTTTATTTCTGTTTGCACCCCTGTTGCAGATTTACTTTCTCTTTGAAACATGTTGTCAACAGAATAGGAAGTGAGGGTAAATCTCTCTGAGTCCCAGATAACACCAATAGATCTTAATTTTAGGCTTTAATTTTTTTGTTGTTTTTCTTGAGAAGCACTATTGACTGTCAGCATGCAGAGGTGGGTGTTGGATGAAACCACGCCACTGTGTTGTGTGTAACAACAGCAGTTCAAATCACTAATGTTGTGCCTGTATTTATTTTATTAAATTATAGGTACTTATATAGGGAAGTCAATTTACACAGCTCTTTACATATACAGTACACTATATTGCCAAAGGTATTGGAACACCCCTCCAAATCATTGGATTCAAATGTTCCAATCACCTCCATGGCCACAGCTGTATAAAATCAAGCACCTAGGCATGCAGACTGCTTCTACAAACATTTGTGAAAGAATGGGTCGCACTCAAGAGCTTGTTATTTAGATCAGCCCTCTGGCCTCTTTTATGGGCAATTTTAGTCTATAGAGAAAGAGATCAGAGTTTAGAAGTGCTTTTGGGTAATTGACTTAGAGATAAGAAATTCCAGCACACACCTTCCCTCACATGAGAGTAGCAGAGAAAAGCAACCAGTAATGAAATATTGATTAGTAATAGTTCTTGTAAACAGTTATGATATATCTATAGCAATCAAAGCTTAAGAGTGTTATTAGGCTAATTTTAAAGATAAGAAGCCCAAGCAAACTTTAGCAACTCAGTGAGGACAATTTTAAAATGTCCATACACTTTTCATCAAAGGCTTGCAAAGTAACAGCCTTTATTGTCAAAGATTAGTATAGCCATACAATTTGTGGTAAAATGGGACTAAGGGAATTAGAACGCTCTCTAAATGAACCAGGGCATAGCTCAGTAAGGCTTCATGCACACTGAGGCTCTTCTAAAGCTTTTCTCCTGGCAAGAGCAAAATGGCTTCCAAAAAGTGCCTAAGCCATGTTTTTTCAAACATGTTTAGGCAAGTTAAGCACTTGGGCGTTTATTCATTTAATTGGCCAGAATATTCATTTATTCTGGCCATGGAAATGAAAAAGAGCTCAAGCACTAAACGCACCTAACATTAACACACGTTTAGACGAGTTTACCTCCGCTTAGGTGTGTCAGGCATTTTTTTTCTACCAAAACGTTTCTCTCTTGAATGCACAAATGATTTTTTTTTTTTTCAGCTACTAAACACCCTTGTCTCTAAATGCCTGTAAATATCTATGTGTACAAAGGGAAGTTGTACTTTGCAAGGGAATTATCTACAGAGATTAGTGAATGAGGTAAAGCTCTGCTTCCTTCCATTATCCAATTGCGTCCAAGCAAAAGTGCTGTTTCTTTTTTTTTTCCTTGCAAGTGATTGGGTGTTCTTTGCAAAGTGAAATTTCATCACATTCACTAAGTTCTGGGGAAAATTCCCTTGCAAAATGCAACTACCTGTGCATAGTAAACAGTCTATTTGCCTTTAGTAAATCAACACTAACAAGACCATATAACCATATATATTCTGATTCAAAGGGACTAAAGAAATCAAAAGCCCTTCAACCAAATCAGTTTGTAGCACAATCAAACTTCTTTACTGGGGGAGTTGTAAAATTCTTCAAGAATATTTTCTAGGAGTCGATGACTCTTGTAAGGCCCCATTATATTTGACAGACTATAAACAGCAGTAAACTTAGATCTATATCTTTCAAAGAAAAGTGACAGTACCTGGAAAATGTAGTTGAGTCAACTTACCTTTCTTAAGAGAGGTGAGGCTCCTTTCTAGAGTTGCTATTTTATTTTCCAGATTTGTAATTTTAGTTGAAAGGGAAGCATCTATAAATGATACATGAACTATTTATTAATCATTTACAGCTAAAATATCAATATTAATCTCATACTTTTGTGTATATATTTATTGAATACATGTTCATGAAAAGATCCGCACTGGTCATAGACATGGTTATGAAAGATCCTTTATTCTGTCATTTGAGAATTAGATTAGTTGCAATGATTGTCCTCCTTAGGAGAATGCTAGATTGGATTAATGGCACCCACATGCATCGTTTTTCTGTGTGGGTGATTACGGCTGCAGGAACAAGTGTAGTCATGCAGTGACAATCACCCGCACATAAGTGTACCTAGCCAAAAGGTCCAATATGAGTGTGTATGTTTGAGGGGGGTGTTACATTCTTTAAGTAGATGTCTTTTACAAGATCACATTATATTTAATTCACCCACAAAAAAAAGTGTGTGTATATATATATATATATATATATATATATATATATATAAAATCTATACATACACACACTATATTGCCAAAAGTATTGTGACAACCCTCCATTGGATTCAAGTGTTTCCATCATCTCCATGGCCACAAGTGTATGAAATCAAGCACCTAGGCATGCAGACTGCTTCTACAAACATTTGTGAAAGAATTAGTCGCTCTCAGGAGCTCAGTGAATTCAAGCGTGGTACCGTAATAGGTTGCCACCTGTGCAATAAGTCCATCCGTGAAATTTCCTTGCTACTAAATATTTCACGGTCAACTTTTAGTGGTATTATAACAAAGTGGAAGCAACTGGGAACAACAGCAATTCAGCTTCGAAATGGTAGGTTACACAAAATTACTGAGCGGGGTCGGTGCATGCTGAAGCGCACACTGCGCAGAAGTCGCCAACTGTCTTCAGAGGCAATAGCCAAACACCTCCAAACTTCATGTGGCCTTCAGTTTAACACATCAGTATGTAGAGAGCTTCATGGAATGGGTTTCTATGGCTGAGCAGCTGCATTCAAGCCTTACATCACCAAGTGCAATGCAAAGTGTCGGATGCAGTGGTGTAAAGCACGCCACCACTGGACTCTAGAGCAGTGGAGACGTGATCTCTGGAGTGGGTTTGGCAGTTGCCATGAGTACAGTACTTGCGAGACTACATTGTGTAAAGTTTCATGGGGGGGGGGGTTATGGTGTGGGCTTGGCCTTCAGGGATTGGGCTTCGCCCCTTAGTACCAGTGCAGGGAATTCTTGAGGTGTTAGCATACCAAGACATTTTTGACAATTTCATGCTCCAAACTTTGTGGGAACAGTTTGGGGATGGCCCTTTCCTCTTTCAACATGACTGCGCACCAGTGCACAAAGCAAGGTCCATAAAGGCATGGATGAGCGAGTTCAGGGTGGAGAAACTTAACTGGCCTGCACAGAGTCCTGACCTCAACCCAATAGAACACTTTTGGGAGACTGTGAGCCAGCCTTCTCATCAGACATCAGTCTGGAAGAATTATCAAACAGTCCCATAGATACACTGATAAACTCAATATTGAACCCTATGGACTAAGACTGGAATGTCATTAAAGTTCATGTGCGTGTAAGGACAGGCGTCCCATACTTTTGGCAATATAGTGTGTGTGTGTGTGTGTGTATATATATATATATATATATATAGAGAGAGAGAGAGAGAGAGAGAGAGCGCTACCCCCATACACCCAGAAGGAATCGCTTGTATGATGTGCTGGTTTCCCCTTACTTCACCCAGCAGTCAGGTACAGTTTATTTCTGCAGCCGAATACACTCACACACACTTAAGCTCGTTGTCTTCAATGACCTATCTAGGGGATGTATTATTTTTGGAGTTTATTGTAGAACTGGGGATAGGGATGGGGAATGTAGTAGAATACTCCAAAATTAGAACTATTCACACTGAGGACATCTAGTTTATTTCTTAGTTGAACACTCATGAAGTCTTGGCTGACAGTAGATAGCACACTTCCCTTTACTTTGTAGCAACAAGTAGTATGGGGGTGAGCAAAGTCCCCTTTTGCAGTAGTAGTAGTTACAGGACTGAGTTCCACAAGGTATAAGCCAACTATGACAGATTGCGATGACCCAAAGGTAACGTAGCTGAGCAAGGTCCTTTGCAGTAGCAACACTTGGACAAGCTCTTCAGAACACTAGCCAGTGTTCCCTTTTTCCAGACCCATGCTGATTATCAAACACCAAGGGAGGTAGCAAGCACACAGTGTCCCCAAATTCCTCAGTGTCAGTACTCACAAGACCCAAGGACAGAATGGTTGCCTACTTCAAATCTTCCAAGTGAAACCCTCCAGTGATACCAGACAGAGCTTTGGCGGACAGCTTACCTCAGTCAGCTTACTGTAGAACCAGGGTCACTCTCTCTAACGTTAGTCCCTCAGGTCGACCCACCTAAGGCCACAAGGCAGCTCTAACGTTAGGCTCCCTCAGGTCGACCCACCTAAGGCCCTTAAGGCATGCAAGCTCCAGGCGAGGCAGTCTGCCTTTAGCCTGGCTGGTGCAATCCACTCTTGGGAAAGACCCAGAACCCATGTGCTCTCAGAATTTAAATACCACTCCCAGCATGTAGTGGGACTTTCTTCACCTGCAATTGGCCAGGGCTGTATCCATATTCATGCTGTTCATTTGCCTAGCCCCTACCCATGTTCTGGAAGGTTTCATAGCTTCCTGAAGGCGGGCAGAACTCAGACAAACTCCAACAGCACCAGAGCAGCATGGGCAGACCTAACTAATCAATCACAGCACTCTGTTAAGCAGAATACAACACTGGCAGCCTCTCTGGTAAGCAGAGAAACACAGTTATACTATTCTAACTATACAAATCCCAGCATCTAACTAGGAGGGTGATATAGTATATATACTGTAAATATCCATTTCTGGGAATGAAAAAATAAAGTACCTGAATCTCCCTTGTCTCCTTTTGCACCAGTAGCCCCTTTAGCTCCTGGAGTTCCTGGAGAACCTGTTGCACCTCTTAAAGCAGCTGATCCTGGAGACCCTGCTGCCCCTGGAGGACCTGCTGGACCTCTGTCTCCTTTTATGCCTTGTGTACCTTTTAAGAGAAGAATACATTTTCAGATATCTTTCCCATTTACAGCTGCATATTATTCATCATCTTTGGAAGGTTCATATTTCTCATATACCTGGACCTCCTTTATCTCCTTTGGCACCAGCACTTCCCTTTATTCCTGCGATACCTTGAGATCCCGGAGCACCAGAAGCACCTTTAGTACCTGCAATCCCAGGAGTACCTGAAGCTCCATTGGCACCATTTGGTCCTCTTTCTCCCTTTAGACCTAGAGCACCTTAGAAATAAAAATTGTAAACACTTTAAACTGCATGTATAAACATGGTGAAAACCACAAGTGCCTGCTTTATATACATCCCATATCATATTTAGGTGAAAATGTGATGCCACTTGCTTGGGTTGCATTTTCAGTTAGGATAAGTTAACTTAATTGGATTAGGGCAGTCAATAAATAAAAATTTATATAATGTTTATGAATACTCCAACATGATTTAAAGAGAGAGGATATATTATTATGGAGACCATATAAGAATACCTATATGACTTCATTAGATTGTTACACTGGATATTTAAATGATGTCCTTACTGTTTCCCTCATGTGAGTTTTGACCAGTTTCCATACATGCCTAACAATGTGACAGGGAGTCCTAATAAAATGACATGGTAAGGGCAAATGGGATTATATATATTTTTGTTATTATCTCCTAATTTTCCAAAAAAAGCAAATGTGTCATAGTCTACTCCATTATAGCCCGAAAACTTCCACTGGAAATTCAGGACAACCATCCTCCATGTCTTAACAATTAACGTCAAAATTACAGCAGCAAGCCCTAATAAAAATGTTCCTTTATGTTATGTTTTTTTTATTGGTCTGGATAACATTGGCGCTCAGGTTAATGCATTTTAGAACACTATGGGTCCCCAGTCTTAGCTCATTAATAAGAACCTCTAGTATTTTGAATCAGATCAACCCAGGCTGAACAATAAACCATTGAATTTAAATACAATTTCAGTCTTTGCAGATGACACCAAGCTATACAGTGGAATAACGTCCTTACAGGATGTCTTCAACTTACAAGCCGACCTCAATGCACTGTTTAATTGGACAACTATGTGGCAAATGAGGTTTAATGTTGATAAATGTAAGGTGATGCATTTGGAGACTAAGAATATGCATGCATCATACATACTAGGGGGAGTACAACTGGGGGAATCAATGGTGGAGAAGGATCTTGGAGTTCTGGTGGACCACAAGCTTAATAATGGTATGCAATGCCAAGCTGCAGTTTCTAAAGGGAAACAAATCCTCTCTTGCATTAAAAGAGGTATAATCTCCAGAGAGAGAGATATCATTTTACCCCTGTACAAATTATTAGTAAGACCTCATCTGGAATATGCAGTTCATTTTTTGGCACCAATTCACAAAAAGAACATTGGGGGAACTGGAGAAAGTACAAAGAAGGGCAACCAAACTGATAAGAGGCATGGAGGAGCTCAGCTATGAGGAAAGATTAGAGGAACTGAAGTTATTCTCTCTTGAGAAGAGGAGATTAAGGGGGGATATGATCAACATGTATAAATACATCAGTGGTTGATATATATGAACTCGACGTAGAGCTATTCACCCTGAGGTCATCACAGAGGACAATGGGGCACTCTTTACGTCTGGAGGAAAAGAAATTTAAAAGAAATTTAATCTCCAAACATGGAAAGGTTTCTTCACAGTGAGAGCTGTGAGAATGTGGAATAGACCCCCTCAAGAGCTGGTTCTGGCCAGCTTTATAGTTTGATTTAAAAAAGGCCTGGATTCTTTCTTGGATACACAGAATATAACTGGATACTAACATTTATAGGTAAAGTTGATCCAGGGAATATCTGATTGCCTCTCGGGGGATCAGGAAGGAATTTTTTTCCCCCTGCAGGAGCAATGTGGATCATGCTTTGCTGGGTTTTTTTTTTTTTGCCTTTCTCTGGATCAACTGTGGGTATAGGATCCTAACTTTTTTTTTAATGGATGGACTTTTGTCTTTTTTCAGACTAACTATGTAACTATATGTAAAATTGGACTTTTATTCAATCATATTGCTGTTATCTGGAAATAAACCAAGTTTGTACAGTATTTCTAAAATATCAGGAAAAAGGTGACACAGGTTTCTGACACAGTGGGAGAGATTTACTAAAACTGGAGCACTCAAAATCTGGTGCAGCTGTGCATAGTAACCAATCGGCTTCTAACTTCAGCTTGTTCAATTAAGCTTTGGCAATAAAACCTGGAAGCTGATTGGTTTCTATGCTGAGCTGCAGCAGATTTAGCACTCTAAAATTTTTTGTAAATCAACCCCATTATATTTAAGTACTATTTTCTCAACATATGACTGCCATTATTAAAAAGCCTGAACAGGTTAATAACATATGGCACCAGAAATTTACCTACGTAACTCACAAATCTCTTATAATCTATTTTGTAAAGTGTAAATATTACTAACTTGGATTACATATGTGCATGGTATAAACAGCTGACTTTTATTACCTGGTTCTCCCTTGGCTCCCTTGGTGCCATCGGATCCCTTTGGTCCTGAAATTCCAGGTGTCCCATTTGCACCTGTAGCTCCTTTAGCACCTGGAACTCCAGAAGCCCCTGTATCCCCTTTAGCACCAGTTGCTCCAGCACTGCCTTTGAGTCCTTGTGGTCCTAGAAAAATAAAAAAAAAGGTAAATGATCCAGGTGGGCAATGGTGGGGATGTAAAATATTATATTTTCTGCCAGAAGGTAGCATATCAAAGTCACCCATGGTGTAACTACCAGGGCTTTTTTTCAGCTGAAAACACAGGGGAACGCAGTTCCGGCACCTCCAGCACTGAATGTATGTAATGGCAAGAGGTGCTGGGGTGTGCTGGAAGGTCTAGTGATGCTGGCTGCTCTGGGATCTATATTTGGATGGTG